TCCTTGACTCGTGGAAGGATTCTTGTCCCTAAACTGTGGAGAGCTTCCTCTTCTTTGATCGATGAGCGGTCTTCTTTGCTTGATCCTGATCACCACTGTTGTGGCTTGAAAACGGCTTGAGTGATTTCTTTACTATCCGAGATGACCTGAGAAGTACCATACAGTCACAGCTATATATACCAAATGTGCTTACATCAACAAAGTCATTATCACTAACATATCATTTTTCAACAATCGTCTTCTTTCAAATGACACTACTCTGAGACGGCCATGGCGCGTACGGAATACGAAGCCTAAAAATACATGCAGTCAATCTTTGCACAACGGCATTGTTTGGGACGCTGTTTAGGCTATACAAGGTGTAGCAAAAGTATATATACACTGTTTGAATGTTGATATTTTTTCCAAATAATCTTTGGGATGCCTTCAGGTATCTGTAGAGCTAGCTTCAACTAAGATTTGTAGTATAGAGCAAATCATCGATTGCTCTTCATTACTGTAGGATCACGGTAGAAACAGAAGGATCTTAGGCTATTGAGAGCCACATTTTCCTCACAGAGGAAACCACACAAGTGAAAAACTTTTATACTAGGTTAGTCAAAGCCACTGATTCTAAATATGAAGTTATTATCTTACTCTGTAGTACTTATTTCATAGGTTATTACGGGTACACCGTAACTGGTTTTTTTTTCGATATATTTCAAAAATACGATTACGCCCTCAAAAAAACTTGGAATCTACTAGCTGGGCTTTCCCAGCTCCGCCCGGCCTTTCAAAACACTATGACAAAGGTCCCATCCCTGTCCCAGTACAATCTTTCCCTGTGCCCACTTCTACATGCCTATTTCATGCCAATTTCCTTTTCCCGCTGTGTAATACGAATGTAATGTAATCAGCATGCTCAATTACTTCCCTGTGGCAACTCCCAGCCCCGTAGCTCAAACTTTGCAAAATAATCGATAAAATCGATAAAAGTAATAAATAATTTCAAAAACTAATATTGTATTCGGAATCCTCATGCTCACTTACCCCTCTGTGCCAACTCTAAGCCCCGTAGCTCAAACCTTGCAAAAAATCGATAAAATCGTTATCGATCGATGACGAAAAGTAACCTATGACACCCGCCCCGCCCTGAAGTGCATGTGTGCCAAGTTTGGTCAGGATCGGTTCAGAAATGAAAATTTCTGTTCGGAACATACGTACATACATACATACAGACAGACAGGCAAACAGACATCCAGCTTTATACAGTCGATGTCAATTCCCTTTCGCATGGGAACTACCAAGCGCGACGCAAGAGCCCGCGCGCGGGCCACCAATCGATGAGGCCAATTTGAGTGCCCGAGCCATACGCGCGCGAACGCGGCGCGAAGCTCTTGCGCTTGCATAAAAGGGAACAGGTAATTAACACGGACTGTATATAAGATAAAGCTGTGTAGTGAATCAGCATGCGCGAAAATCCTGCCAAACAATTTTCGAGATTTTCTGTAAAATATTCTGTTAGACGGCCTATTTCACAATGGTTCTGTATGCTGGAATTCCCTACCGTAATCCCAAGGTAATGAAGAGCAATCGTTGATTCGTTCCATGCAGTAAATTTAATAAAAAATGACTTGTATGTGTTACATTTTTACTCCTTTTTGTTCCTTCCCTTAGACGGAGTGTGACTTGTTTGCTGGGTCTTCCCCGGAAATGATTTTTGGATAGGCAGAACACTTCTTACGAAGAGAGATATTAACGATTGGCAGTGTATGTGCAGGGTATCTCAAAAACGATCTACTGTTTGATTGTTAATAACTCACTTGTGTTGAAGTCTTTTGAGGAACTTTGGGTACCACTTTGTAGAGCTAACTTCAACTTAGATTTACAGTGTGGAGCGAATCATCGGCTCTCTTCAATACTGTAAGATGACGGTAGAAACTCTGAAGAGGGTTTTGACTATGAAAGGCCATAGTTTGTCTCGGAAAGTAAACAAAACAACCTGAAAACTTTTACACTGGGCTAATTAGAGATGCTGGTTCTAACTGTAAATTTTCCACTTTTCATAACGCTTCATCAAAAAGTTGTGCGAGGCAAGCAGTACCGGCCGTTTTTCCAATGTCCCCAGACTGCGGTCACACCGTTTAAAAAGTTTCGCAATCTCGTACATAACTGAGTATTGAACTCAACATCCATGGAAAACCTATTACACAATTTTCCACATTTTTCTGAATTTGAAACGGCAGCTTTTTACACAGTGACACCACGTGATTGAAGTTCCTACCGTAATCGTACAGTAATGAAGAGCGATCGATGATTTCTCTCCATACTGTAAATCTAAGTTAACCTCGCTCTACAAAATGTTACCTAAAACTTCTCGAAACACTTCATTACAATAGAGTTATTGATAATCAAACAGTAGGCACATTTTTTGGACACCCTGTATAGTTTTGAGACACCATGTTTACCACAATGATTTCGTCCATCAGAAATCACGCTAGTTGAAAAATGGATTACGATTCAAAAGCATTTGCAGTGGTCACCACTATTGGTAATCCCGCTTCGTTGAACAATATCTCTGCATGTGCTATAAAATTGCAAGTCAGCTGTCTTCACATCACGTACATCGGAAGAGCAGAGGAGAAGATTTGAGAGGGGACGCGTCATATTTCGCTGCTTTAGGTATAATATCTGTATCATTTTTTTTTTTATAATCTTATAAGGTTCTTACACCCTAATATTTGAGTATAATAGATGACAGAGCATTGCCATCTAGAGATTTGCATTGTTTCATGTGATCTTTTTGGAGATCACCAAGAATCAGCTCATATTTCCGAAATCGATTATCCTCCTACATCGACGAAAATGCTGTGGAGTTGTACCGAGGGTATACTATGACACGCTAAACATTTCTGAAATAGAAATTATCACGATATCGAATTTTTCGACGAATCTCTGTTTGCGAGCTGAGGTTCATCGAAAAACTCAAAAACTGCACAATCCGTTTTTGTCGAAATCATCCCTAGAAATTGCTGTAGTAAATCCAGTACAACTTCACGACGTTTTTATCGACTTCCTGGAAAGAAGACGACTTTGAAAACAAAGGCGATTTTCTGTGAATCCCCAGGGGATTACGCGGAACAGGAAAATTCTCTGACATCATTTTAATCAGTTATCAGAGTATGAGAACTTTCATAAGAACAATACAGATACTTGAAGTGACGAAATATGACGCGTCACCTCTCAAATCTCCTCCTCTCCGCAGCGGGGAGGTACGTGTGTCGGGCCTTAGTAAGTTCAAAATGCGAATGGACTCTTGTTACATCGAATAAAATACGGTTACAATGCACATAAAGTCCATCGATTTGAGTGAATGTAGATGATTTTGGTTTTTCTCAACCTTTTCACTGTCTAATAACAATCAAAACAAAAAGTATTTTGTTTCGACCATGATATAATTAAGCAAATAATTGCACCGTTCATTCTTCAACTACTTCAAAAATGAAGACACTTGAAGCAGCAACAACGGGATAAAGTTATGTGATAGGCGAGTTTAATCGATTTTGAATGCCAGGATCCTTTACTAGTTTGCAAGCTTTGGTTGAAGTCACTCAACTGTAGACCGTTTTTTTACGCCATCACCACTGCTAAGCAGGAGATATGGTGCCAAAACCAAGGAGTGCTCTTCCCTCCTACTCTCAAGAATTCGTAGGATGTCATCATTAGAAGAAAAAACAAGAAGACCTTCATGAATTTGACACTTGAGAAAACGGATAGCATGGAAGAGCTTATAGTAAATTATTGACCCCGAAAATTTTTTAATTATTTTCATCTTTACAATGAACATTACTCTCCCATTCTCTGCAAACATTGAGTAACTCTCCCTTCCCCCCCTTCCCCCCCCCCCACAGAAATAAATAGGATCGGGCGCACCACACACCACGCTTGATTCTGGTATGGCCGTATTTGTTTATGCATCAAATACAGAGTGTCCCAAAAGGATGTTCACACTGTTTGATCGTTAATAACTTTTTCTTTGATGTCTTTTGCCGAGCTTGAAGTACCATTCTGTAGAGTTAGGTCCAACTTAGATCTAAAGTATGGAGTGAATCACTAATCGCTTTTCATTGCCGTAGGATTACGGTATGAAATTTCAGCATACAGCGTCACTGTGGAATAGGCTTTTTGACGAAATAATTTCAAAAAATCTGAAAATTTGTGTGGCAATGTTTTCAAGCGTGTTGATTTCAATATATGAGTTTTCATGAGTTTTTCAAGCTTTCTTGACGGCGTATTCACATTTCTGACGAACATTCTAGTTACAAAGAAGCACTCTGAAGTGCAAATTTCATATTCAAAGTCAACGACTTCGACTAGTCCGGCAAAAAACTTTTTGGCTTGTTTGGTTTCCTTTCTGAGGCAAAAATCGGCAAAAAATCGCTTTCAATGGCTTAAAATCCTCCTCGAAGTTTCTACCGTAATCCTGCAGTAATGGAGAGCCATCAATCGTTCGCTCCACACTGCATATCTAGGTTGAACCTCGGTCTACAGAATGACGCCTCAAGCAGCAAAAGACATGAAAGCAGGAGAGTTATCAACAATCAAACAGTGTGCAAATCTTTTTGGGACACCCTGTATTTACAACGTTCACTTTCAGTCTATTCCAAGCTGACTACTACGCTACAAATTCAACAGCTGATGAGCTTGTTGCTGCTTTTGTGACATCTCCTACGATGAACACATAGAAGAGCAACTTATTTTTTCTGAAGTTGGCAGCAATTCAAGTTTGGTTTTCAAGAATCGCCGTATACAGCTTTTTACACTGTAATGCTGCCATTGAGAAAGAAGATCAGTACCAGATAATCTGGGATTTTACTATGAGAGCTGCTTCTAGTATTATCCCTTCGAACATGCGATAATCAGGTAATCAAAGGTCCTAAACTTTGAAGCATGGCAACTGTTTGAATATGTTTTCCTGGAATGCGCTATAGTGATGGTTCAATTGTGCTTTGAGTTGAGAATAACATTCTGAGAAATTTATGCGCTGTGGGTTTGCACCTATACACAGAATCCACATGTTCTTGGGCATTGCTCACTCATGACTTGAATGTAACCTGGATCTCGACAAAATTGTGCCATTCGAAGGCAATCGCTTACTCCTGTTCTGGGATCCACATAGTCACGACAGTCTATAAGAAGAGTAACCACTAAAGGAGTTCACAAGTGGCATGGTTTGAAAAGTACTTACTTGGGTTAACGATTCCAGGATTAACGGGTGCAACAGGGTTAATAGGTACCGGGTTGACTGGCACTACGGGATTAACGGGTACCGGATTGACTGGTACCACTGGATTAACGGGAACGGGATTGACAGGTACTGGAACAGGGTTAACAGGTACCGGGACTGGTACCACTGGATTGACTGGAACAGGATTGACTGGTACTACTGGATTGACTGGAACGGGATTGACTGGTACTACTGGGTTGACTGGAACGGGATTGACTGGTACCACTGGATTAACTGGATTGACAGGATTAACAGGGTTGACTGGGTTCAGTGGGTTACTAGGGTCTGGTAGAATGCCAGGGCACCTGCCACAAGTTAGAGGGCATTGTTCTGCCATTAGCTGCTGATAGTCGGGTCTGTTGCACAAATCTCGTCTGCTGGGGCAATCGGACACGCCAGTCACCGGGTGTACTCGATCAAAACAAGTTGTAGTCCCTGAAATTGGCAATCAGTATTATTTTGTTGAATTCGCGCCTACCCGGGTTAACTGGTACGACAGGATTGACTGGAACAGGGTTGACTGGAACAGGATTGACTGGCACTGGGTTCACACCACCTGGATTTGGTAAAACACCGGGACACCGCCCGCATGTCAAAGGACACTGCTCCCACATCACTTGCTGATACACTGGGTTTGTGCAAAAGGCCACCCTGCTTGGGCAGTCCGACACACCAGTGCGTGGATCCACTCTGTCGAAGCATACTGAAACATTGACGTTATCTTTTGAAGTACTTACACTAGTGAGATGTGTAGTACCTTGTCTGGCTTGCCTTTCTCGATGTTGGGTATGATCTCTCTGAAACTTTTTCGTTGTACAAAGTCCCATCAAATGACATAAAGCAAACCTCGTTCGCACTAAGAATTGTTCTAGTGCTGGCTCCAGAAAGGAGCCCTAGAATAGCCAGATACACTAACATGCTACACGGCGAAGATCTCAAACAGTGAAATGCATGAAGATTTCGAGGTGCTTATATTCCGTATCCTATTTTGTCAGCTCAGCTGCAATCTCGACATGCATGCATGCATTCATGATCTGTTCCGATGCTTGCTTCTGTGAGCTCAACAAATCTTGAAGTGTCCCAAATGCACGAATTCATCATTGCAATTTCGTAATTGTAGATTTAAGAGATTGTTTGAACATTTCATCAATACAACGCAGTATCTTTTCTATTTACTTCAAATTCTTTTTTTCATAATGATATCACTTTTGAACAGCTGTCTTCCCGACCGAAGCAGCGCTATTGTTTTTGCTGCCCTTGTTTCGAAACAATTGTAAATGTCGGCAAATGCACTTGCAGGAATTTTTTCCGCAAATCGAGTTCAAAGGGTCTGATATCGCTCTGTTGAATAGAAGGACAATACAGAAATTATAAGCACTGATTAGTGCGTACATCATAAAATATTAAAAGCCCATAAATCTCAGATCGAATCCCGCACTTGTTTTATAAGTTGTTCGAAGACATTTCCATACTAAGTAGTTTGTATACTAATCTCGTCCTGTTGTTCAAAGAGTTTAACTTTTTGCTATTCATTCGAAAAATTTGGAACGATTAATCGAAACTGTTATCAGAATTGTCAACTTCTCAGAGAAAAGTTTACGGATCAAATGTGCCCAAAAAATGTAGCGTTTAAAATGCCGAAAACTAGTCTTGCTGTGTTGCGCCATTTCATAAACAACTGTAAGCGTAATATTCTAACACTGTATTGAGAGGATCGATCACCACAAGTCTTTTGGATGGAAAAAGCAGCTTACAAGAGTGAATGCTCGCACCTTTAAAATTTCTCTCAAAATGGTGCTTATTTTGCTTGATTTTACAGGATTTATTGAGAAATTTTTTCTTTTTTTTTGAGAATTCGTCTTAAAAAAGCGCAAAAAAGAAAGCAGCAGGACTATCTGAATGACATAGCATACACACAGGGTGAAAAAGTACTTTCAATTGAATTAAAGCTCGAAAAATTGTCAGGATCCTAGGCTCCGATGAATTCGATGTAAGTCCCCAAATAAGAATAAATTCTAGCATATCATGAAAACGGCACCAAAGTTTTGCAGTCTCATCCGACAACGGTTCCTTTTCACAGCGCATCTCATATCAATTTTTGCTGCTTTATTTCAGAGTATGAAAGTTTTGAAAAGTTCTGTAGTTTTCAACGAGATTTTGGGGAATCTTTCTGGTCAGGAAATATGGTAATGATGTCAAGATGCCTGAGGAATAGCCGTTTCACAGGTGCACTTAGATCGTGAATCCTAATTACGAAGGAATTGCTGTGACTCAGCAGGGTGCGATCAGAAAATGTGGTACAGCAAGTACGCACCATTTTTTATTGACTGAAAAACATAATGTAGCCAACGCCTGTTGTGATATAAGCGTTACACATTGCCACAATTTAAAAATGGTTCTAAACCAACTTTTTTCATTACGCAGTTATCAAACTTACCTTAGTCTGACTTTCAAGGTCTTGACTACATGTATAATAAAAAAATCTAGATTTTCCCCTCTGTAACGTATTCTTTGAGGCGAACAACGACTACAGTAATTTTCTCCACTCTATAAATTGTTATATAAGTTTGGCACAAAAGCTTCCATCTTACCACCATCCATTCTCATTTTTCTGCAAAACCAACTGATTTGTACGATTTTGTTCTCGTTTGAAAGGAGAAGTTTGCTGGTAGCTTACTTCTCACCTGAGGAGCTAGGTCACTAAGAATGAAACGTTGGAGCCAACCACGAAGCGATGCGTAATTTTTTATCCTCTTTCCAAGTGATCAACTTGCCTTCGATAGAAATCTTCTATAAAGAGGTATATTTCCAAAGGGAACTGCTTAGAAAATTTCGTCAATGCTGTTTTGTGTAATTTTTTTCTAGTAATCCTGTTTTTTACACAGAATAACATCACAGATGCTTCCGAACTTCACCGCGACATAGCAATTTTGGCAACCTATCTTTTGTTTGAAAGACTACGGTAACTTTGCTTCTCCACTCCAGCCTCTGGTAACAGTTGCTTTCCTTCCACAAGTAATATCGTATTGAAGTGATTCGTCTAGATCGTAAGCTATAAATTTCAAGGGTGCTATAGAATTTTCGCGTAACTTAATTTTTGTCAGTTATGTCATAAATCATACTCGAAGACAATCACACTGAATCGAAATGCTGCTCAAAATGATCAAAATGTTCAGTTCAACGGATTACAAGGCCAAAATCTGTGCTTAATTCAGACCCATTGAGGCATTATTGCCGCCACCCAACAAAATTTCAAAATTTGGTCTTCTTCATCAGACTTGTATATCCGCAAAGTTCCAAGACATTTTTTCATCTTGACACTAGTTGAAACAATTGTTTTCTCTCTTTTGTTTGAAAAAACGGACAAACTTGCAGAAATTGGAGGATGATTCTATAAAAGAGCTTTATTTATTGAGGGCAATAAAACTATTGCAATCAAAGGTTTGGCAAATTATATCTATTACATTATTCTAAAATTAATGTTGCATGACCTTGCGGCAGGGTGAATTTGAATCTAAAAGGTGGAATTCTATTTGAGTTCTTTGGAAGCTCTTAGAGGCAGTGTCCAGGCTAAACCTAACCCCCTCCGATTAGTGTCGATCCTGAATGTAGGCCACAGAAAAGGAGCATCTGCTTCGGTCCGGTCTTCTAACGTTGTCTCTGAATGGAGATAAGGGACCTGGAAGTCCCTGGGTGGGCGGAGTCTGATATCAGACTCCGCCCAACTAGCAATGCCTCCCAACACGTTAACATATTAGTGAGCAGAAGCTGCACACTGCTGCAACTTCACCCATGCAGTTGCAGCTCCTCTCCGCTGGCCTGCCGACGGGGACGAGCGATTCGAAACTCGTCCGCCCCAGACAGGGTCCCCAAGAATCGGGTTTTTTGTGAATTTTGGAGAGTTTGAAGTTCGGAACTGTAATCAGGGCCACGCAAAGGCCCCACAATGACAAAACATGGGAGGCCAAATTCTGGGTGGACGCTTCCTTTAAGGCCCTGGGCAGAGCTCACGCGACGACTTGCACGAAAGCGGCGACTGAGACGCGGCGACTGAGTCGCTTAGTCGCCGGAGGCGTGCATACCTCCAACGCGATTCCATGCAATTGCACAACACTTTACAAGTTGAACGTACTCTAATTCATTACTACAAATCAGTGCTCTTGTTGACTTTACTACATCATTGTCATTCAGAAAGGTGTAACAGCAGACAAAGAAAGTTTGAAAGTTCATCACATAGCATCGACTTGACAACGATCACAACGTTATGCACCCAAATGATTAACAGGAGAAGCCAACGACATCGTGGTTCTGAAAAAAATGGCTCATAATCAAATGACTGTTGGGAATCATCAATTAGGAATAGGAAACAAGTACCAGCAAGGCTACCAGTTGCTTCGGACATTTCGAAAGAACAGTCGCGCGGCAAAACGATATTTTCAGCTCTAGAAACGTCGTCCATGTTTTGCACGTGATAGAAGAAAATACTGCTACTACCTCATGCAAAGCTCTATCTCGTAGTTTGCTGCATGCCATAGTCAACGTAGACTGTGAGCCCATTCCTTGAGTATTCGATGCGCAATCGAACAGGGTAGGGCTTGTAACGGATCTTTTTGGCAGCCTAGGATGTATGAAATGTAGGAAAATGTAGATGAAAGACAGGAAAAAATGCAAAAAAGGACCAACTTCTTTATCAAACAATGCAAGGATAGGCATAAATTGGCATTTGCAACATTTCATTCAAAAACACCCATAATTCGAGAAAAAACAGCAGCTTACAACAGTAACATTGAAACTGCAGTTCATGATCGGCGCGACGGTCGCCCCGTTGCTCGCCGCAAACGAGCGACGCGACATTGCGCCGATTCGGCAAAATCGCGACGATATCGTCAGGTGAGCTGTGAACGCCGAAAAGTGTGGCGCGATTCGTCGTGCCGCGCAGCCATCACAAACCCTCGGGACCCACACACTAAAGAGCGGGGCGTGGAACACTTGTCCAAAATGAGAGGACGCGACGCGACGAAGTCGCATGAGCTCTCAGGGCCTAAGGTGATTTTGCGCATTGCGCGAACTCGAATCAATCTGCTTTTTATATTCAAAACTTTGAAGATTTCAGTTCAACAAAGCTGATCTGTGCTAAAATGTCCACAAATTTCCAGCTTGCTCACATCTCCCCACATCAAACATTAAGATGTACATTTGCTGATTTTTTCAAAGAGAGCAACCGAGAAGTACAGATAGCCAAAAATATAGAAATTTCACGTTCTTAGGTTTCTTGGTGCCCAGGGAGGGGGAGGGGTGCAGAAAAGTGCTGGAGGTCCATAGGACAAGGTTTTTGAAGAATGATATGGTTTCTTTCGATTTTTAACATTTCGAACTTTTGTTGCTTCAAAGTGAGTCACATTTAAGGCGAATATACGAATGCCATTGTGTAGGATACCCTATGTATACACTTTTTTGATATTTGATCTGCCCCTATAGCACTTGATACCTCTTGATAAAATCTCAATACGACTCAACTTTGTAGCTTCATCAGAGAAGATTGTTCAAACCAACTGCCTCAGTTTTTCAAAAACTTGATTGTGAGGACGCACAGCCTACAGACATGGCGGAGCACGACTTCATCTGAGCTAACGGTAAATATATCTTTGAATCTGAAGACTAAGAACCGTTGGCTTTCTAGAGCCTTGAGGATTCAGACAATACCACTTGTACTTTCTAGAAAAAAATGATGCACGGTCGCGCTATTCATGAGACAACAACGTCGCGTGGCCATATCTCGCTTAGAGGCAAGGTCCGGGCAAACTTTGATTTCTATTTTTTTGCCTTATCCAGGCCCTTTCATAGAGCTAATTACACATATGGCACTCAGAGCGTGTAAATTTTTCAAAAAACCTCATTTCTTGGCTATTTTGTGGGGATTATGGACGAGTGCTTCTAGTGCAATCGTTGTAAGCAAGCATTAACGGGTATAGTGCATGCCCCGGCCAGCTTCCCATAGGTACCGCCGCGGCGCATGCGCAGCGCGCTGCCTTCCTGCTGCCTTTTGCTTTGTCAGTAAGTCTAATGCTCTACACACGCAGGAAATCGAGTGGGAGAGACCTCGTTATGGTTCGCAGACTTTGTGCGAGCCTGACGAGCGTAGCAAAACCCAAACGTTCCCTCAAACACAAGCGCATTTGATTAAACGAAGATCGAAAGGCAGCGGGAACCTCTCTAATGCAGAGACGATAGAAGCACCAACCAAAATCGACCATAGATATTCGTTTTTTTTTGTAGAAGAGATTTGAACGAAAGATCCTCTCGAGATTACTCGAACACCAACTTTTAGCGAAGAGAAGACGTAAAAACGAGCAACGTCTCTTCTAACGCTGAAGTTAGGGTCCATTGTCTTGATCGGCCATACCTGGAATAGAGAAATTGTGAAGAAACAACGATAAACAAAAGAGGAAAACAAAAAAGAATCATTTAAAACTAAAAAAGAAAGCTCGTCGAAGGTGTCAGAGGCGTGCGCTGCGTGCGCGTCGCGTTGGTACATATGGGAAGCTGGCCGGGGTCCACACTATAGATACTACGTGTGCAATTGTGTTTGCCTCGTGAAAAAGCCTCACACCTCAAGCTGAAGAGAGTTCGTTCAAGGGGGCGGGCCGTGCGAGGGAATGGACGTGGTGAAGTTCGGCGTTTTTTTGCCGATTTTCTCCCCCCCCCCCCCCTCCCCCTGCGGGGGTGGGTGTGAAAGTCGGATTTGCGCGATAGCTCTAGATCAAGTTCCTAGTAATCAGTTATGGTGGTGCCTGAACCAAATCTGCCCGGACGCTGCCTTCAAGCTTGGACGAATTCCCAATTCGAGGACACCATTCGACTCAGCTCGGCGCGGCGCATCTCCTGATTTATAGAGGTGCCCACCTGAACAAAGCAGGAGGCCAGAATCCACGAATGATTTCAATTTTTGCTTAGGTACCCATTGCTTCAACCAGATCGGCGGCTGAATGGCGGGGCTCCGTGACCTAATTAGGGCTAGAAAATGATTAGTGAGCATGTTCGCGAGGGAGGCCAGACTGCGTCGCGGACGCGAGCCGTCTCCGCCTAAGTCATAAGCCACGTCCTCCAGCAGCCGACCTGATTGAACAAAGGTTAGGTTGCCCAGAGGATGTAATGAATAAGCACACTGAGTAACTTACGTAAGCATAAATTTAAAACGATTCATGGAATCTGGCCTCTGTGTTATATAAGTGAGCACTATACTTGGGTAATTCGAAAAATTTTCATCGAATGAATGAATATCGAATAAATTCGAAAAGGAAAAATTTCGAATAAACGAATATCGAATAAATTCGAAAATAAAAAATCTCGAATAAACGAATATCGAATAAATTTGAGGTTCAAAAATTTTCGAATAAATGAATTCCGAATAAATTCGGAAAATCAAAAATATCGAGTGAATGAGCATCGAATATATTCGAACATTGGAAGTCGAATTTCGAATAAATATTCGAATGATTATCGAATAACTAGAGCCACCATATCTCAAACTGCCGACATATCTGGCTGAAGCCGATCCATTCATAATCAGTACCCTCGTACTTTCCAAAAATCGCTGAAATCGATGAAATAGATTTCAGTTTTGATTAGCATCCTCATTTACCCCCTTACCAACTCCCAACCTTGTAGCTCAAGATATTGCAAAATCGACAAAATCGATAAAGTAAATTTTTATTTATAATCAGCACCCTCACTTACCCCCTTGTACCAACTCCCAGCCCCGTAGCTGGAACTTCTCCAAAAATCGATAAAATCGATAAAGTAAATTTTTATCCATAATCAGCACCCTCACTTACCCCCTTGTACCAACTCCCAGCCCCGTAACTCAAACATCTCCAAAAATCGATAAAGTAAGTTTTTATCCATAATCAGCACCATCACCCCCTTGTGTGGTATAAGCTAGTCGTGGACGAAGGCATGTAGTTTATTCCGCGAAGCGAGCACGAATGCCCCTATGGCCCCGGGCATACTGCAGGCATTTCGGTGGCGACATGGTCTGTCAATGGTCAAATTGTCCAAAACTTATTTTAAAAGTACAGAATGCAGGGCATTTATCTTTTTGGTAAGTTGTACAGCTAAACATCTGTGGTAAGTTGGCGTTACATTTGAAGACATCTCGTAACTGGCAAATCGCATACGGCGATCTAAACCGTCTAATTCTCCACTGCAATTGTGATGTCCTTCACTCAAACACCAATTCGCAAAAAATCTTTAAAGTATATAGCGGATAAAGGCAGTTGTGCAATATAACTTATGCCAGCAAGAGTGTTCACAAGTGTGGGCTTTGCGTACCACAAGCATGAGCAACGCAAAGAGAGAAAAACAGGCATTTTGAAACACTTTCAATGTATGAACTCGCAACATGAGCTTGAATTTGATAGCTTCTTTGCTGTTTTGGTGCCAATAGCAGTCCGAACAATCTTATTCATCGAAAAAGCATCAATTAAAAACCACATATGATTTTTTAGTACTGTCAAGCAGTAGGAAAAATGCGACTCTCCACATAGTTCAAAGGTCATAACGGTTGCAAAAGATGCATTACCAAGTTTTGCGAAAAAAACGCGGACGAAGTGAGCTTGATACTCAGCAGTTGGCTCTGCAACAAAGTCGAATAATCTGAGTACGGAGTTCATTCGAATACAAATTCGAATAAACGTTCGAATAAAACTCGAGTTTTCGCATAATATTGGAATCCTCGTTTTTTGATTATTCGAGTTTTCGAATTTTAATCGAAACCCTGTTTTTTGATTATTCGAGTTTCGAATTTTATTCGAAACCCCGTTTTCTCACTTATTCGAGTTTCGAATATTATTCGAAAATGGAAGAACTCCGAATATCGAATTTCTAATACGAATATATTCGAATGATCGAATTTCTATTCGATTTGGACCCAAGTATAGTGAGCACCTCTATATCAGAAAATGCGCAGCGCCGCGCTAATGCGACCACTTTGAAGCGAGATATGAGCACCAACGGTGATGTCCATGATTCGCGCAACCTTGTGTCGTTCTTTTAAAGGATATGAGCGGTATTGTAGCACGTTGAACTTCAGAATGGTGTGGCATAACTCCCTCTGAAATTCTGCAAAAATCCGTCACTATTACAGCATAAATCGATGTAAAGCCTACTGCAGGACGAAGGCGCAATACCTTTGGGCGCAACGCTGCTTTATTAGCCGCAGAGTGCATGAGACGAAAGTTTTATAATGGTGAAAATAATTGTGGATGAATGTGTTAGAACACTTTGATCACACTATTCAAGGGGCGCCTCGCTTAAATTTGGATTGCTTCAACAGTTTGATTGTGCTTGTTATAATCAAGCTTTGGATCTGGCCATATGCGAATATCTGTAGTTTCGTGCGTGTCGTCTGTCCATTTGTTGATTCGCATGCTAAATCTGAGTCTCCCTTTTTTTCTGAATTAGAGAATAGACATAAATGGAACAACAATGTGACTTTTTCCCTTCACAAGCTTTCTGTTTCGAATAAACTCCTTTTTTTCAGTTGTATAGTAAACGTCGCCTAGCGGAAGCGGCTGGCTGCTGGCCACTAACAAGACTACAGTGTTATGATAGAAGGTTTATCATCTGTCGAATAGGAGACTATAGGAACGTGAGAGGAGTGGAACGTGGACTCGTGAAGATGAGTGTGTGGTTGACTTCGGGGCAACCGCCCCAGGAAAGAGAGTGGGTATCGTGGAAGCTTTCTCGCGTGCTCTGCTCTGACTTGGTTATATACCTAACGTTATCATAGCACATCATCTCTAAGAACATGGGAATCATTGTTCTCATAACACAAACGATAACATAGGATAACATCCTACACCAAAGAACGCGAACACCAAAGCGCGTGGCGGCTGGAAACATTGGGTCCTGAAGCGCTATAGGCTTGGTTACAGCAACAATAAGCGCTCGCTGCTTTCACACATATTTTTATATTTTTATAACCTTTTGAAGGAAGTTTTCGCCAAGGCGTGCTTTACATCGTTGAAAACGACATGGAAGTTCACGAAAAAAAATTTTTCAACACTGGTAAACACCTATAGACTTTCGCGGCAACCGCCCCTTATCGTGGTGTTCAAGGTATGGCCCGAATTGTTTTATAAGACTACTCACTGTATGCTTCGAGTTTTTCGATTTGTTCAAAGGAAGCTCTCATAGCTATGCTATTGTTAGAATTTTTCGCAACCTTTATTTGATCAAGTAACCTTTAACCTTTATTTGCTCAAGTATGCTAAAACCGGGCTGATTGCAGCAAACAAAGCACATGTAACGTACTAGAGTGTTTTGTTGACTTGCTTTCTTGCTGGCGAATACATCAGCGGATACATCTAAAGAAAAACCATAGAGCGCTTTCGTGCAGGATTCACAAAAACGACTTACCCCCATGCAAGAGGTGCGCACAGGACAGCCACAGGGTCCGCAAGAAATCCACGTAGGGCAAACCATGGGGCAAGAAGACATTGAAGGAACTATTGGAGCAACGGGCATCATAGGACTTATACTCATGCAAGAAGTGCGCACAGGACAGCCACAGGGTCTGCAAGAAACCTGCATAGGGCAAACCATGGGGCAAGAAGACATTGTAGGATATACTGGAGCAACGGGCATTGGAGGATATACTGGAGCGACGTTCGTTGAAGGAATTACTGGAGCGGCGGGCATTGGAAGAATTACTGGAGTGACAGGCATTGAAGGATATACTGCAGGGAAGGGCATTGAAGGAAATACTGGAGCGACGGGGACAATAGGCAAAGGATTAAGCCCAGATATTGGTATGGGAGTCGGTATGAAAATAAAAGGGAATGGAGGGTATATGAATGGAGCAACTGTTGGTGGGTTAGGTGGTAGAGTTGAAGGAGGAGTCTGTGGAGCAACTGTTGGTGGGTCGGGTGGTGGAGTTGTAGGATCAGGATTGCCAAATGGAACATTAGTGGGACAGTATCCGCACGTCTTTGGGCAGAGTTTTTTCATCAAAGCTTCGTACGTAGGATTGCTGCAAAGTGCTTTTCTAGCCGGACAATCTGACACTCCTGTCCCTGGGTTCACTTCGTCAGCACATTCTAGAAAAGTACATTTAAAACAGAAGTTTCTTGAATATACGAGTGATGAACGAACCGTCAGGGCATAAACCGCAAGTTTGTGGGCACATCTGCGCCATCAAGGTCTGATAAGTGGGATTGGTGCAGAGCTGTGCTCTAGCGGGACAGTCCGACACACCGGTTCCTGGATACACTTGATCGACGCATGCTAAAAATTTAAAAGTTTTCTTCATGGTCAAGAACGTTCTGGAAATGATGGTGGTCTTTTCGTACACTTGGGACTACCGTAACCTTACATGATTTGAGCAGCGATACATTGATAAGACATTGCACGCGTTTTAGAAAAATAAGAGTTTTGGCAAGTACCGCTTAGCGCTGCGATGCAAGTCTAGCCACCCGGGGTTTCGCAGTATAGTACAAGGGGCTTTATGAAACGAAGAAAATCCTAAAGGCTCAAACGTATCTCAAGCATGCAAATAACGCCAAGGTATTCTTGTGATATCTATTACCAGACTTACGAGTCTGTCTTGCCGTCCTAGCAGCATGCACAATCTGGAACAAAGTCAGTAAAAATAAAAATTTTGAAAATTTCTAGTGAATTAACGTTGAAAAGGAGTTACCTGGTCATTTTCACAACAAACTGATCCCAACGCCGTTGTTATGCAAGTCTGCGTTAAAAATGGACATTTATTGCCATCCAAACACCCTAAAGAAAGAGTGGTAAGTTGTACCCTTATAAGAAGTTATACTATAAACTATACTTCATTCTTCAGAGATAAGTCTCTGACAATGATTGGGTTTTTTTTCGTTCCAGTCTCAGCTAAATGGAAGGGTGAGCTAGTTTTATTAAGAAATTTGAAATCGCACAAACCGATTTGATATTAGATTACCTCAAAAGGGGAGCGAAAACGCCTAATTTACTTGGATAAAGTTACACAGAATCATTATGACAATATTTTGACACGCGCACACCGCCTCAGTGTGGACCCATCCGACTGTCTGAAGGCTCCAGCACAAGCAAATACTAATTTTCATGCTTGCAACCTCGTTTTCACAATTTCCAATAAAGGCTCTCGTATATGGCAAAATTTGTCACGCTGTATTCAGACCTTTGAATCAAAAATTCTCTAAAACGAAAAAAGATGTTGAATTTGCTTCTTCTTCTCATGCGCATTGCATTACAGCAACTATCATACTCTCTTGCCACTCGTTCGATGTCATGTTTATGCAATCATTCGATCAATGCAAGCAAACAGTAGCGAGCAAAATTTTGTACAATACGATCCACCGGTGGGTCGTACATGTCCTGTCATTAATACGACCCACTGCTGGGTCGTAAGATTCCTGAAGCTCTAAATTTGCTTGTTTACCATGGAATTCTACTGCTTCTGATTGGAGACACTTAGGGCGAAACTTTAGCCAGAGTGGTCCGGGTTCGCAATACTGTAATGTAATGTTACGGTAGGTATACCGTAGATAGATACAAGGCACACACTTTGGCTCATTCTTCGCAGAATGATGCTGTTTCTGGAAGATCAAGTACATGCACGAGTAATACGGGACGGGCAGAGAATGGCGTTAAGCAATCAAAAATTAGCGATCGTATTGATTTTATTGATTTTTCTTTTGCATTGTTCATCCCAAAAGCTCGAATCTTTACATATACAGGTTTTGTAGCATGCTGATTACGAAAATGACAGTCTCAAGTTCGAATACCATGTTCTTACATCATCTTCTCAATCTTTACGAAAATCCTACCGTGCTGCTACTGTAGCCCCATTGGTAGTAAACAAAGTGGACGCTACAATCGTGATCAGCACGTGAAATAACCCCGAAGCACATCTCTTCATGAGAAATCATGATGTTGGTTTCGTACAAAATGACTACCGTAACCTAACCGCGATGTCAAAAACAAAAATAAATTTTTTAATAACCAGCGCCTCCGTTTACCCCGCCGGAAATATTCTCGGAGAAATGTCTAGAACTTTTTTCAAAAAGACTACCATTTCGGAGACTACGATCCAGGAGTGGGTCGTAAGTTTGACAAAGCGAAAAAGGCTCTGGTACGAAGCGGCAGTATCGAAAAATCGGCCTTGTCGTGAATGTGTCAAAATGCTTTGCATTTAAAGCCCTCCTTTAGTCGCTCCAGTAGTTAATGGAAGCAGAACATGTTATTTGCGGTTTGCTGCTAAATGTTGCAATCTTATTGTACATGCACCTTGGATAAAGTGCCTGCATGTTTTTTTTTGCATTTTTGATTTGTTTGCACAAATCTCCTTCCTAAGGCAAAAAAATGCGGTCATATGACGTTTCGCATACATTCAGCAACACTGTAGCAAAAAATATGTTATTTACAGTAGAATACTGCTCGCTTTGGATAGCTTAATTTTTGAGCATGTAATCATAGGTCTTCTCGTTCAGACTTTGTTACTCTAATGCCTCAAAGCAACTGGCAGCATGAGTTGCCTGGCGCACTACTTCAGGATTGTGCCACCCATTCAGAATTTTCTAGGGCTGTAACAAAGTGGAGGAAGGGTAGGCAATTTAGGAACTAATAGATAATGATCAAGTAGAAGTTATCATAAAAAAAATCAATAAATTACGTGAATAAAAAAGAAATTATGATATAGTTTCCTTTGGGTCAGATTCTGTAGCATCAGAGGTCTCACAATTAAGAATTTCGACATGAAAAAAAAAGTTGCCAATGATTTGATTTACCTAACTTTTAAAAATAATTCTGTATTTTGGACAGTGTTAACCCATTGCGCATACACAACCAAATTTGGCGTCATACTATTGTCCGTTCCTCGTAAACATCAATCCAGCCATTAGTTTATTAGGGCTCACAGTAATTTCAATAATTACCGCGAGCAGTCTGAAGCTAGAACTTGTTCCTTATGTAAGTAAAGGGTTGGTAAGGAAGTGATGAGCAAGTGGGACGTTTATAGTGGAAAGTGCAAGAAGAAAACTCGGAAGAAGACGGTCATCGCTATATCCACTAATGTTTTGGCATAGTAGAAGCAGGACTTGGCACAGCTGGCTTGTAAGCAAGTTAGATATTGTTTTTGGGATAAAAAACAAAGACGATATCGTTTTTGTGGCCGAAAAAACACCTCAAGACTCACAACTATTACTTTCAGGTTTTAAGGTCAAAGGTAGCTTCGTAAAATTTGACGAAAGTCAAGGGTGACTTCGTTTTTTGCATTTTCGGAAAGCCACCTCGTGCTGGGCCCTAAGTAGAAGGGTACTAAAGGTAAGAGTCGAAAAGCTTAGGGTGGCCTTCATAATCCACTCCCTTTGGGCATGACTCTTCATAAAGATAAAAGATCCTTATAATAATTCTGGGTAACAGAAAGAAATATGAAGACAGCAATGCCTATATTATAACGTATTGGTGACATATATTTCAAACAAATTTAGAAGAAAATGAAAAGATATGTGTACGAACCACCAAAATTTGACGCATAGTGATGCACTGCGAACAATATAGGGTGACTTCTGTGACGGTGGGGTCGGGTTGTATGCAGGGTCGGGGGGGGGGGGACAAAATTCTGAAGAATTTTTGGATTAGAAGCAACCAACTTTTGAAAGAAATTTCAGTGCACGGTTATTTTACGCCATAGAATTTTAGTTTCCAGCTAGTAACTGTCCGCTTTTTTGTAGGTTTCCAAAATAAAACCTCGAGGGCACGTCAATGGCTCAGCAAGAATGAATATAGCCTTTGTTTTTACACCCCAAAACAGTATAAGCCTCTCTGTGTGCCACATGTGCCTTGCCCTGACCACTGTGATTATTTGAGTCTGAAAAAAAAAACTACAGAAAATCTGAAAAGTTGTGTAGTATGATTCTCATCTATTAATTTCCAACAATGCGTAATGCTTTAGCCCAGGTATACCTTACATAATTTGAGGTAGAACTTTTACAGTGATTGCAAATTTGATATTCAGAGTCAGCTTTGCGCAAGTATTTTTGAGTTGTTTGGTTCCTTTCTGCAGCAAAATATGACCCCATTGGTCCAAAACTTCTGGAAATTTCCAAGTTACGCTTTAGTAAGCTTGCACGCTACTCACCTTTAGCCAACTCATTTTTGCATGTCAGCCTCTGAGCAGTTTCAGCGTATTTTGTGCAGAATAAGAGTAGGAAGGCTTTTGAAGCAAACATGTTCCATGAAATGAAAGAAGCGTGCAAATTGTTTTAAAATGTTTCTTTTAATCGTTAGTGTTTCAGTTGTCACAGGTGCAGCCACGTTGACATTTGACATACTTGAAAAAAAATCGGAGGAGAAGCCTTGATCATATTTCATCAGCTGCAGACCCCGCAAAATTATGTAGGTTCCTGCAATAGTTTGTCGTTGTTTGGACATGTCCACAAAAAGAGCTAAAAGAAGCAAACATTTTGAACCTTATTCCAAGAAGCTCTTCTTTACATGTCTAGCAATCAGTTGACCTATCTTTCTGACAAGAGAAGGATACTTGGTCGAAGTGGCGTTTCCACATAAAATGTATGCTATCTTATAGAGCATAAAAGGCTGATTCCAAATCTGTAGTTATTATCTGCGAAGCCCTTTTGAGAGAGGAGCTCTGGGATTTTTTTTGCGGTAAAAGTTCAATGATTTGGCTATGGTGAAAACACGTGTTAAGATCTTTCCGGCGTTTGAAAGGAGTAGTGACTGACATGAGTTTATTAGACTGAAGCTATTTATCGTATCGCCCTAGTATCATGATCACATATTTGAGCACAAGGACTAAAGTTCTGAATGACTTCATTGTAGCGGCTCTTTCGAGTTTTTGCATCACAATTTCCATAACTCCCCTCCAAGAAGTTTTTGCAAATACCGAAAGCAGATTTTTGAATCAGCGTTCCATGACCCATAAGATAGCATACATCTTATAGGAAAACGCCACTTCGACCAAGTATCCTTTCCTTGTGAGAATCGTTAAAATATCGCAGAAATCTCCAACCCACCCTTTCCTAGTGAACCTGGTGACATGCTTATAGTGCAAATCTCTACCGCTATAATGTTCTTCTAAGATATCTTCCATCTCTACCTAAACAATGCTTTTTTAAAATGCCTTGTTATGTCCGCATTTCTGTCAGAGGTAAATAATCGTGATGCCATCTCAAGCAACACTCATCACTGCTCCGTTCAAGCAAAAACCCGCTTTGTGTTCACAGGTTATGATCAGGTCCCTGCACGAGTACGGTTTTTGAAGTTCTTGAAAAGAAACTCTCTCCTCTCTTTCGAAAAATTGGCGAAATCTCCTCTGACCCCTACCGGAAAAAGTATCGACTTAGGAGGAGATGAAAACTAGAAAGAGTCAATAGTCTGAAAGCAAAGGAGTGAGATAAGAGCGAAAATTCGAAGTGTATGAACACTACTCATGCACAAGAGTTTAGGTTGGAGCAATATCTAACAAAGGGGTGGAGGACTATATGTTGCCGGATTTGGAAGGGTCCCGCGCGGATCCCCTGCAGGAACGCATGTCCGCTCATGTACAAGGGTGCGTATTTGTCGCAAATGACCGAGGGGACCGCCCGTTTTCTGCAACCTATAGTCCTCTACCCCTAACAAAGCGATAATTAAGAAATCAAGGCAAAAACAAAGGAAAGGTAATAATATGATAATGTTTTCATGCGCAGGAAGATTTTTTATTGAGGAATCCATCATATTAGGTTGAAGAAAGTTCTTTCGCACCAAATTCAAAAATTCATAACTTCTAAATTTTCCAATCGATTGGACCGCTTTTATTTTTGTATGAAAGAATAAGTCATGCTCTTTATAATGCTCTTTATCACCTTAGATGTTTGCTCTTGATCATTTGTTGCATATATAGGAGCGATAGAAGAAAATTGGTCAAAATTTGAATTTTCTGTGTAGGGTCATAAAAAATCGGAAACTTGCAACAAAAATCGGAGCAGTCAGTATTGTAGGTTTTTTACCAGCTCTTTCTAATGGTGCAAAGTTTGCGCCGATTGAGCGTCTTTATGAAAAGTTATGATTTCCCTGAAAAATGCCAAAATATTAGGTTGGCACATAAGTTTTGCAACTTTTCCCGTAGCTTTTTTCCTATTTTATGTAGCAATCTCATTTTGTGGCATCATGTAGATCGTGATGTCAGCTGCAAGTCTGCGCAAACGGCTTGATTTTTGATAACGTAGTACAAAAAATCTAAGCATTTTTTGAAAACTGCTGAAAATCGAGGTTTCACGATTTTTTGGCAGATATGAAGCCTTACGAAACCTGATTCAAACATATGAAAAAGCAATTATAGGCAGCATGTAGCTGGAAGTTGGCACATTGGAATCAGTGAAAAAGAAATGAAATTTGAACACAAATTAAGGTGGGGCGCCTTTTAGAAGTTGAACAAGTTAAATGCGTCAAGTTTTAAAGGCAATTAGTCAATAACTAAGCTGCGAAAAGTCAGAATTCGCTATAACTTTGCACTATAAAGTAATTCTGTGCGGTAAACACGAATATCATATTCATTTGTCGCTAGAATGAAATTCATTTTTTGATCTCACGAATGAGGCCTTTTCATGCGAAACGAATCTCATTTTTGTGATCAGCATGTTAAATAAGCCCTATAGGCCAAGTTTCAGCAAAATCTGATGCATTCTAAAATTTTTCCCATAGTACCGTGAACCTACCGTAATCCTCACATGAGATGGTAAAATTCGGCAAAAATGTGTGCATTAGAAGCTTACATCATATTCCTTATATTGCCAAAAAATGAATGCGCTACGTTCAAATAGACAAAAGTTACATAAAGAGTTGCATTACTTATGTGCCAACCTAATAAATCAAATTCGCCCTTTTGCATTGCTTGCTCGAAAATCATAACTTTTTATAGAGACGCTGAATCGTCGCAAACTTTGCACTGTTGGAAAGAGCTGGTAAAAGAAACTACAATACTGACTGCTCCGATTTTTCTTTCAAGTTTCCGATTTTGTATGACCCTAAACAGAAAATTCAAATTTTGACTAATTTTCTTCTATCGCTCCCATCTATGCAACATATGATCCTTAGTAGGCATCCAAAATGACTTTATAAAGAGCATGACTTGCTCTTTCATACAAAAATAAAATCAGTCAAATCGGTCGGAAAAATCATAAGTTATGAATTTTTGAATTCGGTGCAAAAGAACTTTCGGTTCAACTCAATAAAAACATCCAAACCTCCTGTGAGCCTACAAAAGTATAAGCTCCATACGATCTCAGACCGTATAGTGGCCGTTAGGATTTTTTTCTCTAATTTTTGGCTTGAGCCTCGAGATAGATACAGAGCTGGTGCAAAAGCAAGAATACTATCTTGTAGAGCTTGCTTTGCTCTGTCGAATGGTACTTTGCTATCTATTTAGAAATGAGAAGTGTATGAGCAGAAGAGTTGAAATTCAAAACGGAAGAACTCAAGGGATTACCAGATAGTACTCAGTACAGTAGTAGTAGTACAAATGCTTGTCTTAGCCCATGTTTGAGTTTGCATATTTTTAAAATGCAATCTTTTACTCTTTTATCAATTCTTCATCTGCATTTTCCCTTTTCTGCGTATTCGTTGCTCCTTCACTAGGATACATTACAAAGGCCTTGTAAGCATATAAGTTTCGTTATACTATTAGTGAACCAGTAATCAAAGGTGCTAGATTGCATACGCGCGCTTCGGGACCGAACAGGGTTTCCCGCGATCTTTTTGAATTAGCGTTACGATTCTATATATATTATATTAGGTTGAATCGAAAGTAATGTCGCATAATTTTAATTTCGTAACTGCTCCTTATCTGAGTGTATTTGCTTGCAACAAATCCTTTCAGAAAAAAAACTTGACTTATATATAATACTAGCTGGCTTACCCGGCTCCGCCGTATGTTCCGCATAGAAAATTCCATTTCTCAACCGATCCGGACCAAACTTGGCACACATACACTTCGGGCCCCGGCGGGTGTCACAGCCCACTTTTCGTTATCGATTGATGTCAATTTTACCGATTTTTTGCAAAATTTGAGCTAGGGGGCTGGAATTTGGCAGGGGGGTGTAATCGAGCATGCTGATCACCCCCACGGGGGTGATCAGCATGCTCGATTACCCCCCTGTGCCAACTCCCAGCCCCGTAGCTCAAATTTTGCAAAAAATCGATAAAATCGATATCGATCGATGACGAAAAGTAGCCTATGACACCCGCCGGGGCCCGAAGTGTATGTGTGCCAAGTTTGGTCCCGATCGGTTCAGAAATGGAATTTTCTATTCGGAACATACGTACAGACAGACAGACATACATACAGACATACAGACATACAGACATACAGACATACAGACATACAGACATACAGACATACAAACAGACATTCAGCTTTATATATAAGATTTTGTCCCATAATTACTTACCGTTTTTACTTCGACGGTCGTCTTTTTGTACCTTTCTTCCAATTGATGCGCCTTGATGAGCCATTCGATAGGGAAAAGCAAGCTCTACACGATGGCTATCAAGAGTCTGCACAAATCGTATTCCACGTGAAGTTCTGAGCACAAATCTGATAGCAGTCAAAAACGAACTTTTCGTGAAAAAATCATATGTCTGCCCCAAAAAATATTAAGAATTCTCCATTTATTCTAGCATATGCTTGGCACATCGAGCAGTCAACTACACACTTCCCGTATTTTTTCCATGGCGAGAAATAAAGAAAAAATTGAATGGAGTAAAATGGCAAACTCCGCCCCTAGACGTTCTGAGCTCCTCCCACGTACGTGATCATATAGCTCATACATACAGAAGTACGATCATGTATTTGCGCCCTTTGTAGGTGCCGATTTTCGAAAAATGCTGATGTTTAGGGTAAAAACTGTAAATAATTATGGGACACCCTAATATAATGCTGGATTAACCTAAAATATTGGGTTGTCCTGAAAATAATGTCGCATGGCATTCTACCGCGACAGAATGACCACAAAAAACAGCAAATGGGATATCATTTGATAAAGCAAAGTAAGCTCTACAAGATGGTTCCAAACCTCCGCGGAAATCATGCTCAACCTGAAATTCGAATCCAAAATATAAAAAATTTTGGACACCCGAAAAATGGTATCTCCGTCCATAGACGTCTTATGGATCTCCAATTTGCACAAGTATGTACTCTCTACATTAGACATCCATTTGTATAGTTTGTAGT